GTGTGTGAGTAAATTGAACTTTGAGTATTGAGGACAACACTTTTTCAGTCCTGATCTCTGCAACTTTTAACCCATTTTCTTCTTTTGAATGATGCTTCTTCAGTATTTGAGACACTGGGACCCTGTAAGGTATGTTTTGGCTTGCAGAGTGGATGCTTCCATAGAACATCCCTGAAGCTCATCCATCTCCTGCATGGAAACACAGAGCGATCAGTGTAGTGGCACCGCATGGAGGAGGCGCTTGGTTGGTGTTACATCAAATGCTGTTGTAGTCCTTTCCTGGACATAATTCCTTACATCTTATCTGAAAACACTGCCCAAGAAACAGCGTGGAATCCTGTTTATTCAACTCGGCAAGATAAAGGTCTGAGCAGATGTGCAAGGATTTAGGCTGATGTTCCCAGACCATTTTCAGTATTCGTGTGTGGAACATCCAACTGCTCCTTTCTGTGTCCTGTGTTCTTTCACCTCTGGAGTTTTGGATTGCTGCATTTTTTTCACTTGAATTACTTTGTTAGTTTACCTTAAACCATTTCCTGTCAAAACAGTAATCCATACAGGATTAGTATTAATTTACTAATTTTTTGGAATAATCTTACTGTTCATGAAGCGTATGAGAGCGAGGGTTATTTGCTGTTTTTCTCATGTAGCTTTTCCAGCAGATTTTTTTTTTCTTTGTTAGAACTGAGATATGTTTCAAGATTGCTGAGTTCAAGATTTGAACATACCATCGGATCCGCATTCCCCCCAATCTGTTTATTTGTTGGAACATTAATCTTCTAGGCTTTGCAGATTTTGTATTCAGGGAGTGGGGACTTCCTCGATGGTGTAATCAAATAGCTCCAGTAGTTGTCTTTGGTGAAAGGTATTCTGTGAGATACTTCTAAAATGCATTTTTCCCTCTTCATCCAAACTTTATTTTTTCCTGCTTCTGGTATGTCAAATCTGAGAGAGATTCTGTTGATAGTTTTGGATAAATTAGGAGACGGTTTTCTGGTGTTCTGCCCTTTTCTTTTGTTTTATTTACACAGGCAGAGACTGAACTGTGTTAAGATTTCTCATCAGATGCACTTTGACTTTACTATTATTTCTGCAGTCATTTGATCCAGTTTGGAAAACTTGTAGTGTGCTCCTTTTAACTGGTTGCCGTTTGAAACAATTTTGCAGGCCTTTGGGACCAAAGGTTTCTAGAATTCTGTTTTACTCTTGAGGCTTTCAGATACGTACTATATAATAAGGGCTTTGTGTCCTTTTAATTGTTTCTTTGCATGTCTGTTTTCCTTGTTAGTCTTTCTGTAAACTTCAGCACTACCTTGGTAAAGTAAATACATGCAGGTTCTTGTGGTAGGAGTCAAGTTAATTGTTATGCAGCTGTAAAGACAAATATTTTGCAATGGATTAAAATGGATTTTTTTTTTTCCCCTTCCCTTAGCTTGTTTAGCTGCTTAAACAGTTGTATCATTACTCAGACTCTGGTTTTTTTTGGGAAAAACAATCTCATTTGAATGAAATCACTGCTTCAGGGAAGAAAAAGGGAGGAGGTGGCTTCCGCATTGGCTGGATCATCTAAGCTCAATCTTCCAGACAGTGGGATAAGGAGTTTTTTTTTTTTCCCCAAGTAGTTGGCACTCTTGCATGGGCTGAGGTACTTGGCATTGGGAGTTGCCAGTACTTTTATTATGGCTATGGTAAATCAGGTTGACTTCTTAGTGAGCATACTGATTTGTTTTGCTGCCTTGTAGCTCTTTCATTCTTATTTGAACTTCCTTTCTTATTTAGGTTTCTTTAAAAAGTAGCCGTTTGTTTTTCATATCATACTCTAGGGTGAGTGCTATGGTGTATGTATGCCCAGCTCTTTCTCCATGTCGCATCTTACAATTAATGAGGTCAGTTTTGCCACCTTTTCAGAACTTTTTTTAATTACATTCAGTTTGTGGAGGGTAACACAACTTTGTTCAAGACAACTGGGTACCGTTAGTTTTTTCTTACTGACAGATCCTCTGTGGCAGCTGTCAGCTTTTCAAGCTGCTTGATGGCATCTTTAGCATGGCAGGAGTTGGCCATGGGTCATGCTCAAATCAAACACTGTGTTTGACAGGATATTTTCCCTGGTGGTAAATGAAAGCCAGACTCTTCAGAACTAGTCCTCAATCAGTATAATCCTTAAGCAAAATACTCACAAGTGGAAAATACCATGTTTCATTGTGGTGTGTGCTGGTGCACTTTTTTCTGTCTGGTCCTAATCCATACAAGTGAAAACTTGGCACTCAGTGAAACCTAAATGTGTGATGATGTTTTGAGTATGTGTCCTTCAGTCAATAATGGTAGGTGGATTTGGTAGCAATAGCTGAAAATTAGCCCTAATTGTAGAAAGGTTTGCATTATTTAGCAATAAAGATTTTTAGGCTTTGTTTTTCTTTATTTTGAAAAGAATTTGAAATAACAGCTCAAAACTTCTCTGTATAGACTGAGTATAATCTTGTCAAATTAACAAATAATCTAGGCTGACGTTAGCGTAGAGAAATCCGCGTTTAATATTTTCTTTGCTCTGATGGTGATGAGGATTAGACACTGGAAGATATCTTGGAATACTATGGTCTGAATTCAAAGAAGAGGCAATGACAGATTTCTGGCCTTTAATAGTGGGTTTAAGAAACCATTATTATATGCTTAACCCCCTGCGTGCCCAGTCATGTAGAATTTCAGAATATTCTTGCAATACTTAAAAGTTTACAGTTAACTGTCAACACAGCTCTATTCCAGTGGAAAAAATCAGGGTCGGAACTGTCGCAGAAACATCTACCAAACTCATTTCCCTCTGAAAAAAATACTGATGTGACTGAAAGAGAATATTGTGTTGCATCCCCAGCATGGTGGTGCCCTCGATGACTGGTGGTAACAGGTCTGTGCTGTGGCCCTTGGTGCATCAAGTACAGGAAGAGAGAAAACAGACCTCTTGGGCAAACAGTTACATAGCAGAATTCCTTGGCTCGAGAGCACTGAAGCCAAAAGTTTCTTGGCATTCTGGCTGCATTCCTTTTCCAGTATGTGCTCAGAATAACTTGGGACTTTTTGGAGCAGAAGTGGGACAAACGTTTGAATGTAGACATAAAAGTCTATGCTCAGTTTAGCTGTTCGGCTGCAGCTTTGAAAATGTGTGTTAGTGGGCTATAATCCTTTTTTCTGATTCAAATAATCCAAAAAGCCTGTCTTACTTAAACAAAAGCAGATGCTATTCATTAAGACGTTTGTTCATTTTGAAAGTTACACTTACGTTGGGAGAGCAGCAAATTTTTGGTACAAGTTGGCGTTACAGTGTAAATGCATTTGACCTTCATTGGTTGCTTTGGTTTTGGTGTTGGTTTTGGCTTAGGAAAATGGTCATTAATGAAAGCCACAGTTCAGTGCTATGCCTTAAATTTTAAACAATTTTTTTGTTCAGTTCTATGACTTGAAAATGGCTTTACTTTGAGTTCCAGATGGCTTAAGATTTTTTTTTTTTGTAGTACAATAAACAAAACCGCCTTCTGAATTTGGGTTTGGTTTATTTCAGTTGCAATTTTTTAATCTTCCACTAGAAATAATAAAACTCTGTGGTGGAATTATATCATATGAAAGAAGGCATGGTGTTTAATCCAATACCCTAACTTTCTTTCAAACTGTATTGTTGTTGCAACTGATAAATTCCAAAGTCTGTCTGATATAAAAATGTTTAACATCTCTGTCATTAACTTTTTTTTTTTTTTTTTTTTCCTGTGCCCTTGGAACTTTGTTTTGCTGGTGGAGGATCATTGCTTTTCTCTATCACATTTGACCTGGGCAGCCAAAGACTTGATTGATGGTGTAACTAACTCCTGAGTTCAGGAAAAGCACTGAAATTTTGTAATAACATCTTCATATTTGGTTCTTTCTGCAGAAAGAGTCTATCTTGTGCATAGGGGAATCATTTTGCTTTTGCATCGCATGCTTTCACCAGAAGTATTTTGATTCTCGAATTCTGAGTAACTTCTTTCTACATCTGGTGATGGATCATAAATCTTTAAAGCTCTTAATCAGCCCTCTGCAATGAGTTTTTAAAGCTGAGTTTTGCAAAGTGAATTATAAAAACAGTTGTCTTCCAGGTGCTTGCCTGTTGTCCATTAGGACACTATTTGTGCATTTTCAAATAGTAGCATTGTTGAAGCTGCCATAAAACTTGAAGGCTGAGCTCAGTTCTGAACCAGAGAGCTGTTTTTACTCCAAAGGGTGAATTAGCCTGGGCAGTACAAAACTTAGATTTTCCTTAGATGGGGTGAAGTGTAGTCCTTCTCAATATCACTTTTCAAAGGAAGATAAGTTCTTGCACGCGGCAAGAAAAAAAAAAAAGGTAGATGAGGATAAATCTACATTTGACATAATTTACCTGTGGGAAGTGTCTGTTCCAGTGTAAACATAGTAGTGTAACTATAGTGGAAACATCCATACACTGCTGTCTGGAGGGATGGCATTGCTTTTAAATATTAACATCCATAAAAGCATACACCTGTTGGAAATAGACTGCAGAGTGGAGTCTTTCTTCACATAAGCATCTTGTGAGGTAGGAACACATTAATCCATATAATAGCCAGAATCCTCACAGCAGTTAACATGCACAACAGGATATTGTGGATTGAGCTGGTGTGAAGCAGAATGCCCAGAGTAACCAGACTGAGACTGTTTGATCCTTTTTGTAGGTGCTTTTAGAATTTAGTCTCCTGAACACTGAGAAGTCACTTGCCAGCTTTTAAGACAATCATAAATTTGCTGCAAGTTTTACTTGACTTTGCAAAGATAAAGAGAGCAATTTGTAATTTATGGCAGAAAGACAATTTCTTTCTTCTTTCAAATCTTCATTAATGACACTAATAAAGAAAAATGGCTCTATATATTCTCCACGACAAAGTATTCAGAAGGATTGTCAGCTCTGACAAGAGGGATGCTTGTAGAAATGAGACCATAAGCTTGAGGTAACAAATCAGTTTATGAATCCTCATGTCCTGGTATTTATTAACAACTATTAAAGGAGTCTCAGCTTTATCTGCAAAGGCACTATGAGTTTTTAAAAACAAAATAGCTTTCTGAATTTAAGACAGTTTCAGCTTTCTGATTTCCTGATCTTTGAAAGTCCTGCTGTTAGAAAATCCTACTGTTACTTTTAACTTACAAAGTCTTTCTTCATTCTCCCTGCTGTGGCCCCCGCTCAGTGCGTGGCTGGGAACTGGCAGAGAATTGAAGGAAAAACAGTTCTTTTGCATGAGTGTCTAAACCTTTCTCTAGTTAGTTCTGGTCCTAAAGCTTAGTTCTCTTGTGATGATACTTCTTGTTGGCTTTTCTTCTCCTCTCTCTTTCCCAGCCACTCTCACCCCCTCTTTTTTTAAAATGCTGGATCTCCACCAGCTCAGGCCTTGTGTTCAACCCTTGTACTTGTGTAGCTCTGCTTCTAAATACCCTGTGCTTAGTGAGCATAGTTGTTTTCTGTCCCTTCTCTGAGGGGTACAGCCAGCATGTCCTTCGGTATGTTTTGAAGTGGCCCAGGGAACAGGTAATAGTACTGATGAAAGCATTAGCCAGGTTTTGAGACTTGTACTGATTAAAATGATCTTGGAAGTATTCTGATAATAATAAACAAAATCCTCTGAAACTCATCTAATGTAAAGTATGCGTCAAGGTAATCTGACATATATGGCTGTTTTAATTACTGAACCAGTTTTCGGAGGATTGAATTTTGTAACAAGATTCAAGGTTTCATGTGTCTGATTCTAGCCCACTGTAAAAACTAAAATTTTCCAACTCAGCAATACATACTTCATTGTCAGAGCAATCATGAGATGCATGCCATCACTGGCTGCCCTGGAGTGGCTTACTGTTGCTGTGTAATGGACCTTTGTTGTGGTAGGACAAAGACTTATTGACAAATTGCCTATAAAAAGTGGCTTTGAAATATTACTTTATTGTCAGTGAAGTTTCTATGTACTTAGAGTTATGTCTCTCCATACAACACCTGCAGGACAATAAAGATTCATAGTCCTAGTTGCAGTTGGCTCACTGTAGCCCTACACAATGAGCGATATAAGCAATAAACTGGAAGATGACTACAATTAATTAGTTATGCCTTGTAGAAGAAGGCAAAAAGAATAATTAAGAACAGTATCGACATGGAAAACTGCCATCAAAAGGTGTGGCTGCTCAGACGAATATGATTAGCTGCACTTTCTTGACTGTTAACAGCAGTTGGATCATCTTCAGCGTGAAAGATAACTTATTTTGTTTTCTGAAATCTTGTTTTGATACACTGTGAGCAGTTATTAGAGGGCATGACAGGTAAATAGACTAGTTGACTTCACAAATGTGCAAATTTCACTGTAATAAAATCCTATTATGTCTGCAGCAAGAAAGTCATTGGAAGGTGCAAGTATTTAAAACAACAAAAAAAGAAACAAAATAATACAGAAGTCCACACATACCTTCCCAGTATATGAAGCGTATTTACATCTTCTGAGGGTATTTTGTGCATTATATGGAGATGCCTTCAGGAGATCTGGTGCAGGTGTGTCAGCTGGGCTTTGAGAGCAAAGGACTGTTCCTGCAAGATGCTGCTAGGTCTGACTGTCAGCTTGTTAGGTCTTGGGAAGAGTTAGGGATGTGAAGACTGTACACGCAATAAACCATGGTTTGTTATCGAGTCTGTCTCTATTTAAAGATCTTTTAGTAATTGCGAGCATATGTAGATGGCACAGTCCTACCTCCTAATTAATGATCTGTTCTCTTCTGCAGGCTGGCAGTGATGGGGAAAGCATAGGAAACTGTCCTTTTTCTCAGAGGCTCTTCATGATTCTTTGGCTGAAGGGAGTGGTGTTCAGCGTCACAACAGTTGACCTGAAGAGGTGAGAAATACTTGGTTTATCTGACAAGCAAGAGTACAGTGCACTTGGTGTAACAAATATTTGTCTGGGGCTTCTAAATCTTGCATGGCTTATTTTCTGAAATTAAAACAAAATCTGTCCTCATAAATACTAAGAGGCAACCTTGGTGTAAATGGTTGATGGTTATTTGTAAGTATCTGTAACCAGAAAGAATTAGTCTGATAAATTCTCTTGGATTTGTTAAACGATGCTCTTCTGTAAAACTAACAGCTGACATGAAGTGTCTCATAACTGACGACTGAATCTTACTAACTTCACTTCGAGATCCTACAAGTGAAGACTGCTGGATGGGTATTTTAGATCAACCAATCTTTGATCAAATCTCCAATGATTATTGGATAACTGTCACAAATAATGTGCAGCCTACTCCTCTTTGTAAAGATTTTAAGATAATATTGCTTATTATGCAGTAAGAATCAAAATGCTGTGAAAATATCTGTCCATGAGGTCAATACAAGTGAAATAGATGTGAAGTGGGTAGGAACAAAATGTAAAATATTCTGCCTTTGTGTAGTGTTAGCCAAATATATCATGATGCTGCGTGTCACCTAAATTGCAACTTCTCCATCTATAAAATGGATACCTCAGTAGGTAAGAAAGGTGAAGTGTGAATCCAGGAGTCTTAGTTTCCTGAGGCTGGGTGTACTTTTACTAGAAGTGGTAATGCTGCGTTCAGCAGAGGCCCTGTATTTGTTTTTGGTGTGAAGTAATGTTTTCACAGCACTAATGTAATGTTAGTCACTGAACTCTGGGGAGAGAGGAGAGACTGCCAGTGCTTACAAACCTGATTTTCAGAAATAAAGCCAATAGAAATATACAGTATTCTCCAATGAATCAAGTGTAAAATGTGTAAGAAAAAAAATCACTCTGCTAGACTTAACCTCTTCTTGTAATTTTTTTTAAGGAGGTGCCTTGTTTTAATTTTTAAAAATCACTGAAGCTGCTGCTTCAGTGCTGGCAACTAGTGTTAAATATTTCCATATGTGGTGAGGCTGAGACAGACCACTCGGAGGGGGAGAAAGCAGCTTTTGTTGACTGGGCCTGCATTTGTAGCAGCTCAGATTTTATCTGGCCCATGTGGGATTTTGCTGCAAATATAAATGTTGCTGCCAGCACACATAAACCAAATGTATCATATCTTCCATTTAGCATTGCATGTGGTTTGTGGAAGCCTCGGGAGCAGAAGTTGTGCTTGAGTACTGTTTGTAGTTTTGGACTTCCTTGACTTTTAACGATGGTGTTATTTAACCTATTGCAGTTATGGAGGCAGGGTGGGGTATGAGAAGAAGGCTAAAAGAGACATTTTCTATTTGGAAG